GGGTTTCGTTAAACGATTTTTCAAAAAGAATACTAGCTCATTTCCATCATTTAACCTAGCAGAATGTACATCATATTTTACCAAAACATTGTCCGCGATTAGCCCAACTAAAACATTCAACATCCCCAGTTGGATCCCAAAATTTGCATCTCCCCAGACGCCTTTTAATCTTGACCCCCCGACCTATCAAGAGGTTACAAATGTCATCCGTAAAATGAAACCGTCTGGCTCACCATGTCCACTTGATCAAATATCTATCATCTGTTTTAAACGCTGTCCTTATTTACGCTCGTACTTAACTGAGATAATCCACGCAGCCTGGTCTCGCGGTGTTGTCCCGTCTGAATGGAAGAAAGCATGCACGATTCTAATTCATAAGAAAGGAGAAACAGCAAACCCAGCGAACTTTCGACCCATTACTCTCGAATCTGTCCCACTCAAAGTTTTCACATCATGTCTTCGCAACAGGACATTTCAGTTTCTTGCAGAAAACAATTACATTGAACAGAACTTACAGAAAGGTTTCACTCCAAAACTCTCAGGAACACTAGAACACACAGCACAGTTGGCACATATCATTAATAAAGCGCGAGTAAAACAACGATCACTTATCATAACACTATTAGATCTCAAAAATGCATTCGGCGAAGTCCACCATAACCTTATTTATGAAGTCCTTCAATATCACCACATTCCCGATCACATAAAGAATCTTGTCAGTAGCCTTTATGCTGATTTCCAAACTTCCATAATAACTGAACAGTTCAATACTTCCTTCATTACAGTCGGTCGTGGCGTCCTTCAAGGCGATTGTCTCAGTCCTCTTTTATTCAACATGTCTTTCAATACCTTTATCCAACATATTAAATCGGAAAAATACCGTCAACTTGGATTTTGGAAATCCAGCGAAAACGGTACCCCATTAAATCCTCTTCATTGGTTCCAGTTTGCCGACGACGTGGCTGTTGTTAGCGGCCAAGAAAAAGAAAACCAAATGCTCCTCAATCGCTTTACAATCTGGTGTCAGTGGGCTGAAATGATAACACGTGTAGACAAATGTTCGACATTTGGCATTAGGAAACAATTAACCAAATCCATTCAATATCTCCCAAAACTATTTATAAATAACTGTCTTGTACCACGTGTTGAACTTGGTAAATCGTTTCGCTACTTAGGTCGCTATTTTGATTTCAACATGTCCGACGAAGATCATAAATCTGAAGTATATGACACACTCACTAATATCCTGAATGAAATTGATGATCTACCATTACATCCGAAAAACAAAATTCTCTTATACAGTCGTTATGTGCTTTCCAAAATCTCTTGGCACTTCACTGTTCCTGACATAGGCAAAACCTGGGTTAACGATAAACTAGATAGTATCGCGTCCACGTATATCCGGAAATGGCTTGAACTTCCTATTTCTGCAACCCTTAGTAACGTCCTACTTCCCCACAATAAATTTGGATTAAATATCATTCTACCTTCAACCAAATTCCTTCAATGCCAAACTGTTTCTCGGAAAGCCCTAAAGTCGTCGCCAAATGAAGCGATCAATAACCTTTAAAAGGATACTAGCAATCACAAAAATATACAATATGACAAATACAAAAACACCAAGGACGTATTAAACACCATCAGGAAACAACATGAAGACAAGCTTCAACACCACCTCATTTCACAAGGCTCATTTTTCTCCAATATTATTAAACATTCTACACTCTCATTCAACTCTATATGGTCCTCCGTTCAGAGTAAACTTCCGAAGAATATATTTAACTTCACTATCCGGTATATAAATAACACTCTTCCGACTCGCAAAAACCTTCTGAAATGGGGAATATCACCAACATCCAAATGTTCGTTTTGTTTGAATCCAGAATCACTTCTTCACGTCGTCGCTGGATGCAAGACCTACCTAAATAAGGACGTTTCACGTGGCGTCATGATTCGGTGCTTAACTTCATAGCATCCATACTTAAATCTGTGAACCATTGTAACCTTTATGCTGACCTTCCTGGCTATATAAGTCCATCTGTTATCACCGGAGATGAATTGCGCCCTGATCTTTTGATAACACTTAAAAACAAATGTATTTATATACTTGAACTTACCGTCGGATTTGAATCTAATCTCCTCACTAATGCAACTCGAAAAAGACAAAAATATCAAGATCTAATTAACGAACAGCTCAAAACTTATGAAAAAGTGAAATTTGTAAATTTATCGATTAGCTCATTAGGAGTTTTCAGCCACCCGTTGCTAGATTTCACCAAAATGCTGAAGGATCTAAAGTTTGATGAACAATGTAGAAAGTACTATGTTCGGAAAATTATTAACATATGTATCAGGTCCTCGTATTATATATTCTGTAAGCGCAACAAAGAATGGGATAACCCACAACTAATGTCATACTAATATTGTTATTATGTAGAGTGTTAATTCAAGTAGACACTGGTAAACTACCTGTAAAGAGAGGTTTATCATTGTAGTGTGTATATATATTATTGAAAGTAATAAAGTTTCCATTATATATAATTATTATTATTATTATTATTATTATTATTATTATTATTATTATTATTATTATTATTATTATTATTATTATTATTATTATTATTATTATTATTATTTCACTGTTTCTGATATATCTAAGACCTGGATCTGCGAAACGTTAGACAGTATTGCGACAAAATATATCCGAAAATGGCTGGAACTTCCTGTCTCTGCAACCCTTAGCAACGTGTTGCTTCCACAAAATAAATTTGGTCTGAATATTATTCTCCCTTCGACAAAATTTATCCAATGTCAAACTATCTCTCGGTCAGCTTTAAAATACTCACCAAACGTAGATATTAACAATCTATGGGCGGTGACGAGCACCAACAAGAACGTACAGTATGACATTTACAAAGACACAAAAGACGTACTAAAGGCAGTTAGAAAAGAAAACGAACAAAGACTTCAAAACCACCTCATTTCGCAAGGTTCTTTCTTTTCCAGTATCATGAATCATTCCACATCCACATTCAATTCTTTATGGTCATCCGTTCAGAGCAAACTTCCGAAAAACATTTTTAACTTCACCATCCGATATATCAATAACACACTTCCAACACGAAAGAACCTATCAAAATGGGGACTATCATCAACATCCGATTGCTCTTTCTGCTCCTCACCTGAAACGCTGCTCCATGTGATTGCTGGATGTAAGACATATTTAGACGAAGGACGGTTTACATGGCGACACGATTCCGTTTTTAATTTCCTCGCATCCACTCTTACTGCTGTGAAAAATTCCACACTTTACGCGGACATTCCTGGTTTTATGAATCCATCTGTTATCACGGGAGATCGTTTACAAGCTGACCTTCTGCTGGTGACTGAAAACAGATGCCTATACATCCTCGAGCTTACAGTCGGTTATGAATCCAATCTGCTAGTTAACGCCAATCGTAAGCGTCAAAAGTACCGTGATCTAATCAATGAGCAGGAAGCAGATTATGATAAAGTCAAGTTCGTCAATTTATCCTTGAGTACCCTCGGAGTTTTTGGCCGATCTTGTGAAAATTTTGATGGCATGCTAAGTAGCCTTAAATGTGATGCCAAGTATAGTAAATACATAAAAAAGCAAATCGTGAACATATGCATACGAACATCATATTATGTATTTTGTAAACGAAACAAGGTGTGGGATAACCCAAAATTAATGTTAATATAATCCTTCTTAAAATAACTATTGTACAATAAATATATAGTATCAATTCAAGTAGACATTGATAAACTACCTGTAAAGCGAGGTTTATCATTGTAGTTGTATATATCCTAATAATCAATAAATAAAGTTTCCATTATTATTATTATTATTATTATTATTATTATTATTATTATTATTATTATTATTATTACATGTTTTTCACAGCTTTGTTCTTATGCTGGCTATGTTTTTCTTTGGAAGCTGGCTACAACCAGTAGCCTCAGGTCCCAAAGATTTTAGCTTTCCAAGATTCTTCTCAGTATTCTTGCCGTCCCTAACAATGCTGTTTTTTGTAGAAGTTCTATTCTTATATGTATTCCCAATTTCTCAATCCACTTATCCAGTTTATTACTAACTGCTCCTAAGGCACCTACTACTATTGGAATGACTTCTACTTTTTTCATTGCCCATATTTTCCGAATTTCCCTTTTCAACTCCTCATACTTTTCTACCTTCTCTGTTTTCTTTATACAAATTCTACAGTCCCCTGGAACTGCGATGTCTATGATCTTGCATTCCTTTTCCTTCTTTAAAACCACTACAATATCAGGTCTTCGACATTCAATCACATGATCGCACTGTATGTTAAAATCCCAGAGAATCTTTACATTATCTGATTCAATTACTCCATTTGGTTGGTGTTCATACCATTTTTCAGCTTTCTCTAGTTGGAACAAACCACATAGCTTCCAGTGAACAATGCGAGCCACATTGTCATGTCTTCGTTTGTATTCTTTTTGTGCTAGCTTCTTGCATTCACTTATCAAGTGTGTTATATGCTCTCCCTTTTCCCCACAAAGTCTACAGAGTGGAGACTCAACAGTTCTATCTATGTGAAACTTTACATAATTTGTCCTTAGAGCTTGTTCTTGTGCAGCACAAAGAAGTACTTCAGTCTCAGGTTTCAAGTCTCCTTTCTTCAGCCACCACCATGTCTCCTCCCTATCCACTTCTTTACCTAAATCTCTGTTATATTGTCCATACATTTTCTTGTCAATCCAAGCTTTCTCTAGCTCCTCTGCTGCTTTCTACTTAAAATTTTCTTTTGTTTCGCATCTTTCCGTTTCAATCACACCTGTCTTTGCAACTTGTTGTAAAAGTGGTTCCACACTGTTCTTTACATACCATCCCAAACTGTTCTCCTCTGTACGAATGCATCCTTCACAACTGATCAAACCTCTTCCGCCCTTTTCTCTCGGTAAATATAATCGATGAATGTCACTTCTTGGGTACGTGAAGAGCACCATATAGTGTCATCAGTTTACGTGTTTGCGATCCATTGCAGCAATTTCATCTTTTGTCCATTTCAAAACACCAGCTCCGTACCTCAGCAGCGCAACAGCCCAAGTATTCATCGCCATGATTTTGTTTCTGCCATTCAGTTTTGATTTCAGCACCAGTCTTAATCTCCTCCCGTATTCCTTTACAAACTTTCTCTTCATTTCACCCTCCATAATTTTATCTAATTCCAGTATACCAAGATATTTATATCCATCTTCTTCTACGGACTTTATTGTTTCCTCATCAGGTAGCTGTATTCCATTACATTCCACAATCTTTCCTCTTTTCATTACAAGCATTCCACATTTCTTTATCCCAAATTCCATTCCAATGTCTTTGCTAACAATATGGACAGTTTTCACCAGTGAGTCTATTTGCTCCTTGTTCTTTCCAAACAACTTCAGATCATCCATGAACAGAAGATGGTTGATTTTGAGTTCTTTTCCGCGAAATTCATACCCTACCTTTTCCTTTCTCAGTATCAAGCTTAATGGTATCATGCACATCACAAATATCAATGGAGATAAACTATCTCCTTGAAAAATACCTCGTCTTAAATTTACATTTCCAAGACTTTCTCCCGAAGATGTTAACTCCGTTTTCCAGTTCTCCATACTACTTTCCACAAACGTTCTCACATTTGCTGCGATTTTGAACATACTCATACATTCCACTATCCAAGAATGAGGTACCATATCATATGCCTTGCGATAGTCTATCCAGGCCATCGATAAATTTGTATGTCTTCTTTTACGATCTCTTAAAACTAACTTATCAATTAACAATTGGTCTTTTGTTCCTCTAGTCTTTCTTCTACATCCTTTTTGTTCATTCGGTAGTACATCATTCATCTCCAGAAAAGTGTACATACTTTCGGCAATTACACCTGTCATCAATTTCCACATCAATGGTAAGCAAGATATGGGTCGAAAGTTATCAACTGCATTACCCCTTGATGGGTCTTTTAAGCACAACACTGTCCTACCATATGTGATCCATTGAGGTAGTTCAGCCTTACCATTTTAAATCTTATTTAAATTATTATTATTATTATTATTATTATTATTATTATTATTATTATTATTATTATTATTATTATTATTATTATTATTATTATTATTATTATTATTACTATTATTATTATTATTATTATTTACTTATTATTATTATTACCTTTACTTTCATGATCTCGAGGGAGTCAGACGTTTCTAGTCGAGCTCCTGCAGATCATTAACGTTTTAACGATTTTAATCGGTGCAAAGATTTATTTTGATTATTTCTATGTGTCTATCGTTCGTACGTTTACTACACTGATAAAGCATGAAAACTTTAATATTTTGGTTCTTCTTGCTCGTTGTCTGTTCCTACTGTAATCGTGATTTTAAGTCTCTTGGCCGACATCAATGGCGCTGTAAAGAACGGCTTCGTGAGAATGTGAACGAAAGGAACGAAGGCCCAACACTTGTCACAAACAATCATGATTTGACTCAAAGTACTGCTGAGATGGATGATGCTGCGTTGAGAAACCAAGGTCGTATTTCAAACGTCGACTATGTTAAATGTTGTTGCGGCAAGAAATGTAAAGGTTTGCGAGGCTTGAAGGGTCATCAAAGATCATGTCGCTTCATCAAAGGTATGTGCTCTGATTTGCTATTGCCACATGAGGGAGAAATCACAAACGAACACGATCAAATAAGTGATGTTGACGAAGATATATTTAATGGCACGCCTATTTTAAAGCCGGGCGTTAAACTTCCAAAAACTGAACATGAATGGAAGGAGGCGGATCTTTATTTTAGAGCCGAGCTGCCTATATTCGAGGTTAGCGAATGTTCAGTGAACGATTGTGTTGACAAAATGACGAATTTGGTATATGATTACTTTGTAGAAAATTTCGGTACGGTGAACAACTGCAAGGATTGCAACTCTGAATATCATACTAAGTATGCTAGTTACTCAAAACAAGAGCTAAAACGAGAACTGAAAGCATTAAAACGCCAGTCACCTGTTGATGTAGAGAATATTCAGTATGTGTCAAGATTACTAAGGAAATTAACTCAGAATAAAGGCCATGATAATGCTAAATCTATTAATCACGACGAGGAAATCAAGAAAAATTTCTGGGCTTATGCCAAATCGCATTTGGATAGCGCTGACTATCTGATACCAACGTTCGATTTGGCAACTTGCACTAATTACTTTAAAAACATTTGGATGAACGCATGTCCATCTCATGTTTTTTCCCTACCAAATTGGTTACCGAGACTTTCAGCACCTGTACACGAATTTAATTATATACCTCCAACTTATGCTAAAATTACGGCTATCATCAAAAGAATGAAAACAGGTAGCTCTGCGTGCCCGCTTGATCAGCTCTCAATTATTCCCTTTAAAAAATCTGCATACCTTAGATCTTACTTGACAACAATCATTCAAATGGTATGGAAATCGGTCCAAATTCCTGACACTTGGAGAAGAGCTGCATCAATTCTTATTCACAAAAAAGAATCAACTGACGATCCTCAAAACTTTAGACCAATTACCCTGCAATCAGTGCCTCTCAAAATTTTTACATCAACAATACGGAATGCCATGTATGAGTTTCTATCAAAAAACAATTATATTGAAAATAGGATTCAAAAAGGATTTACTCCGGGAATGTCCGGCACGTTTGAACATACGGCCCATTTAGCGTACTTAATTAGACGAGCGAAAAAACAACAAAGATCTCTAACAATAGCACTACTTGACTTAAGAAATGCATTCGGCGAAGTCCACCATAAGCTGATTCAAACAGTACTAAAATATCATCAAATCCCCGAGCATTTTCAAAATTGTATTGCAAACCTCTATACTGACTTCCATACCGTAGTGGTTACGGAAAAATATCTAACCCCGTTCCTTAAAGTCAGTAAAGGAGTGCTACAAGGAGATTGTTTGAGCCCGTTGTTGTTCAA